TTAGTTATGGAAGGTAAGAGAAGTAAAGAAATCAAATACTAACATTTTGTTCTAAATGAAAGGATGAATGGAGACGACTACATGGAATGGACTTTAAAGGCAAGATCATAATTTGAATTTTTCAACATACTATATTTGAGATGCTACTGGACATCTAAGGAGAAATATTCAGTAGGCATTTGGTGGTAAAATGAGAGACAGGAATGCAGGTTAGGGATAGGAATTCAGGACACAACTGTGTGAAGATGGTATATACAATAAGATCATCAACACTGAATACTTTAAAAGAAACGACAACAAATAAATAAAGGAAGGGAAAAGGTAGAAAAAAAGGAAAAAGAGGAATGAAGAGAGGGGTGTGAAGAGGCGGTATCTACAAATACCTAAGCCTATCAAAGATAGGGAATAAACAACAAAGAAGTCAAGAATGAGCAAAATGGAAACGCTAGTGAGTAAGAAGAAAACCAGGTAGATTTATGCCCTGGAAGCCAAGTGAAGAAAAATATTGCCAGATAAAGAGAATGGCTGTCTGTAACAAATGCTGCCAGTGAAGGTCCAAACAGTAATTTTAGCAATTTGAAGATTTTTCGCTAGAAGCAAAAATCAAGACAGGGATTTATTTAGTTGTGCATACTTATTGTGTGCATGCACTTCAAAACCCAAGGTGAAGGGTGAAAAGAAGGAGGGACATGCTAAGCACAGACACAGCCAAGGTGAAGTGCTCTCCTAGGCAGACCCAGGAAGGAGGGAGGGCTGAGGAGCGCAGCTACTCATAGCAGCAGTCCCTGCCCTGAGTCAAAACAGAAGGCTGTTTTCAAGATAATTTCTGGTTGCTTAGTTTCAGAGTTTTTAATTAAGGTTTGTAATGCTGTGGATTGCTTTGTGGTCCACCATGTGTTAGAACATGTAGGTTTATGTCACGTATCAAATTTTAGAGGTTTTCAGCCATTATTTCTTTGGTGACTTTTTTTTTTTTTTTTTTTTTTTTCATCTCTGTTGTCTTCTTTATAGCATGGTGGTGGTGAATCCAGAAGTCTCTCTACTGAAACCAAAGTCTGGGGAGCAGGCCAGCTCTGTTACTTACTGCTGACACTAACTAGTAGCTATGAAAGTTCTGGCTCACTATCTGGCTTTCTGATAACACTGGGGTAAGAGTGTTGGGCTATTTCATTAGCTCATTATAAGATAGCTCCCCACAGGCTTTTTCCAGAGTCCCTGGGGAAGGGCCAAGTTTGTTTGCTTTTGTAGTATTTGAGTGGAACATTTGCTATCTGAAGGTTTTCTGACTTACTGGGCTATTGCTTTCTTGGCTCTTTGACTAGAGAGATCAGGCTTTGGTTGGGGCTGCTGTGTGAGTGGGTCTATGGCATTTTGTTTGTTTGGTCTGGTTTTCAACTTCTAAATGCTAATTCTGAACATAACTGGAAAAAATAAACCTCTAAGGCCTGTGTCATTTTCAGGTCTTGTATTCATGGTTTGTATGCATTCTCTCCATTCTTTCATTCTTCTTGTGTTTGTTTTACATGCAAAAATTATTAATTTAGTTGAGCAATCATAAAACAAAAACATAAAACTGAAAAGTGAATCATATTTTGTGGTAGTATTCAATTCTTTATTAAAGCACAAAAGATAAAAATGAAAAAGAAAAATTTCACTATGCTTACTAAGGATAATTTTGAACTTTAGCTTCATATTTTCCATTTGACAATAAACTTCACTGTCAGTTCATGTGTGGTACATCTCACATGAGTTGTGAAACTCAAGTGTATATTATTTGATATAGATTTAAAGTTCTAATTTTATTTTTCTACTAATACATGCTCATTATAGGAAACCTGAAATATATACCAGCACCAAAAAACTATTAATATAGTAGTGCATTTTATTACTTGAAGTATAAAAATATACATATAGCCACTACTAAATACAGTGATGTTTTATCACTTTTCTTATAATACAGGTTGTGAATTTTTACCCAGATTATTAACTATCTACTACAGTTTGTCTCTGGATGGCCCCCAAAGCCTCAAGTACTCACAGAGGCAGTTGAATCTAATGTTTGTGACTGGTTCATGGTTGGGCTGGAATTAGCAATGTGACTACTATGCCCATCCAAAGGCGGCGGGTGGCAGCACACAATATAAGGGAGGGAAAGAGGCATGTTTTCCTTTTGCCCTTTTGTTTTGTCTCTTATAGCTGCCATGATGGCTGCCCCTGAGCCACGTCACATGGCCTTAGAACTAGATGACTGTGGACTGAATCCTCTAAAACCTGTAAGCTAAATACACTTCTCCTTCCTTTATTTTGGCTGTCAGGTATTTTGTCTCAGCAATGAGGGAAAAGTAACCAAGACACTATGTAAAAAAATAAAAATAAATAAAAAAATAAAAAAATACCGTTAAATGATTTGCTTTAATTTTTTAAATTGTGATCCAACTGTTGAAATTCTGTAGATTTTCCTCTACTTTTTTCTCAACTGAGTAATAATGCCTAGCATAATCCTCTTTCTATTTAAGTAATTTTTACCTACATTCTTAATTCTTTCTTTAGGGTATACTACTAGAAGATGAATTAGTGAATATTGATAATTCAAAGGCTTTGTTATAGGCTGAACTGTATCTCTCCAAAATTCATAAGTTAAAATCCCTCCCTTCAGTATCTAAAAATATGAATATATTTAGAGCAAGTCTTTAAAGAGGTAATTAAATTAAGGTCCTAATCTCATATAATTGGCAACCTTATAAGAAGAGGATATTGGGACCAGGTACCCACAAAGGGAAGAGCATGTAAAAACACAGGGAGAAGCTGCCATCTAAAAGCTGCAGAAGAAATCACCTCTGCCAACATCTTAATTTCAGTCTCTCAGCCTCCAGAACTGTGAAAAACAAATTTTCATTGTTTAAACCATCTAGTCAGTAATGTTTTGCTATAGCAGTCCTAAAAGATTGACACAATACCAGTGAATATTCTCAAAGATATTAGCAAATGCATTTTCTAAAAATATGTATATATTTGATGGAGATAAACTGTCTCAAAAAAAGAAAAAAAAAAGGGGGGGTTGGGGCTGGGGATTTAGCTCAGCAGCATTAGCACCTGCCTTGCAAGCAGGCGGTCGTGAGCTCAATCCCTGATACCGATAAAAAAAAAAAAAAAAAAAAAAAAAAAAAAAAAAAAAACTTTAAAAAATAAAACTGTCTCATTGCATTTTTGTCAATTATATTTTTAAAAGATAAAAAAATTTATTTATAGGATCACACTATGGAATGAAAATAATTTCCATACAATAATAATAGTATCAAAAACCATCATAACAGAGAAACCCTCTTTTTCTAAATATAAACCTAACCATAAATAAGCTTGACCACCTGCAAAGGAGGCTTCAGGGAAGTCATTTCATCTCTGTGAATCATAGGTCTCACACCTTTTTAAAATGAGAGATTTAGACTTGACAATCTTTGAGAGATAAGACTGAAAGTTACATGGTTCTATTCTCAATGTCCTTCAATTGTTCCTATTCTTTATACAGATTAAGCCTGTCACTGGATTTAATTTTGACCATACTGTTGTCATTCCAAAGATGTATGGTAGATAAAATGGTAGCAAAGGTTATAGAAATGAAGCAAGGAAACCTAATTTCAAAATCCAAGTTATGTTTAAGCAGCTGTGAGATCTCATGCCACATTGTTTCTCTGTGTCTGTATTGCTTTATGGCATTCAGAACACTTTGCTGGATGACTGGTGATACATTTTTTTTTTTTAATTTAAGTAAATACCCACATATATGTGAACATGTATCTTTTCTAACTTTTGTAATATAAAAAGGAAGAAAAAAGTCCAAATCATACATATAGTAAGATAGGATATACAAAAACCAAAAGAACTAATATCAAATATATTCATGCCATTAATGATCTAATTATTTTTAGAAAAATCAGATTGGGAAAAATCTGGTAAAAAAGAAAATTCTCTTCAAATTTAAAGATTTATACATCCCCTTGGATTGCATTGAAATATTGGCTTCAAGGTTGTACTCAGGTCATATATCCCCTCAAAAGGCATATGTGCTCTAAGGAAGGGTTTTGTAGATGATTAGATCATGGTGAGGGGTTAACCTTTTAGTGAGTTAATCTATAATACGTTCATAGCTGCTAAGATGTGGGGCCTCAATAAAGGAAATAGAACACTGCAGGCATAATCTGAGAATTTATATCTTGTCCTAGTCCCTTCTCCCTCAGTTTCTTGGCAGCTATGAATTAAGCAATCTTCTGCCACTTTCTTCTACCATGATTTTTTTTTTCCCCTTTTCACAGGTTAAAGCATCAGATCCCACTAACCATGAAATGAAACTTTTGAAACTGTGAGCAAAAACTGTATTTTCTTCTTAAAGTTAACCTATGTCAGGCATTTCATCATAGTGATGAAAAACTAACATACCCATTTATAGTCTTCCAATCTCAGCTCTGTGATCACTTTATAGGTCCAGGTTAGTAAACATCTAGCAATAAAATCTCAGAGAAACTCTGTTTTGCTCCTACAATTCACCTAGGAATACTAGAAGAAAACATCTAACATTCAAATGTTGCTCAAGAGCACATTTTCAGACAGTTCATAGAGAACAGTACATCCACAGTCTTCTTCAGTTAAATCTATCTATAACATGGGAGCACTGTCATGTTTGTTACTATAAGAAAATGATTTAAGGAACATTTTAAAGATCTTAGGAAAAAATAGTATTAAATTAAACTTAGAATTTTTAAAAGATCTTAGGAAAAAATAGTATTAAATTAAATTTAGAATTTTTAAGTATTTCATAGATTTAAAGCATTAAAATTAAACATATTTTTGAGATTATTCAATACAAAATATTTCAAATATAAAAAATGTTATAGTAGTAATTTACTCACACTTAGCAGTATTTCTAGGAAGATGGAAAATTTTGTTTTATAATATCTGGAATAACATAATTTTTCACCAAGAAATTGTGTATCAGTTATACTTACAAAGCAGTTCTTATCAGAGTTTCTTTTCCAATGCTTCTTGTCTAATTTCTTGGCCAAAGTGGAACGCAGAGTTGCATGAGTTTGTGTTCGAGGATTCAAAGCCAGGATGTTCTAAAGACAATATAAACAATGCAAAAGTATATGTAAATATGTCAGCATTAAAAATTCAAAAAGCAATGATGGTGAACCATTTATAGCTTTCAGTGACAATCGGCAGCTGCCACACTCATGGCATAGGTGTTCAACCAATGCTCTGAAGCAAAGAATTCATAGGAAAGAAAACTTGGAGAGGGCATTATATTTGATCTAAAAAATTAGCAAATGATCTAAAATTAGCTAGGTGGTGTTTAATAAAACTAAGTGACAAATTCTGTGCTTGGTTAAAAATGAAGGAAAAGTGGGGAAAAACAAAGATCTTCCTGGGAAATTCCTACAACCACCACAACAAAAACCATATGGAATACATAAGACATATCTATTTTCCTTTAGGACAAAACCAAATAAATAAGAAAAAACAATAATGGTATGACTTGCCCAAAAGCTCAAAATGTCCAAAATAAGACAAGGTTCTCAAAACAAGGTTACTTTGCTTTATTTTAACATATTTATCCTGGATAAAATAAGAAACAATTACCACTATATTTTCTACTAATTTATCAAAAGTAGTCTGGGCAAAAAATAAACATTCAGGAAAAATAAATCAATATTATCAACAGGAACAATTATTCTTTCACCAGAAAGAAGAAACCACAGTATCAAATGCTTCAGTTAAAGCTAATTGACATTTTTTTCCAACATCATTCAACATTTTTTATATGTTCAAAAGCAATAAAACACCTAAAGAAAAATCTGGAAAAAGATTCAAAGGACACAGAGAGATTTTCAGTAGTTGAAAGTTTTCACAAAGAAAAGAAATTTTACTTCTTTGCATTTAGTAGAGAATGAAGAAAAATCTAGAGAAAAGACTCCAAAGAAACAAAGATTTTCAAAAGTTGGGAGTTTTCACACACACACACACACACACAAAAAAAGATATTCTACTTCTTTTAAGTTCATGGAGAGTATATAATAAACACTGTGGAAATTAAAGGAAAAAAATTTAGATTAAGATGTAAATAAAGACATGTCAGCCAAAATTGTACTAGAAATCCTTGTAGCCAATGTTATTTAGTCATGTAAACCAAAATGCATCTCAAAAATCCTCCTCTTCCCCTGACTAATTTAGAACTATCTTTTTGTCCAAGATCATTCAAGTTTTCAGCCAAAACTAACCTAAATAGTAACTGCTACTCTATGAGATTTTCCTCCTAACTGTGAGAGCTCTAACTGGAAGAATTAGAGAACTCTATTTTTAAACTTTGAGTCTCTGAATAGTAATACTAAGTAGGTACTATATGATCAAGTCAGGGAAATAAATGATTCAAAATTGTGAATTTGTTTTTAATATCTACTAGGCATAAAACTTGAATAAACCCACTTATTTATTTTTGACTTTTGGTTTCTCAAATGGGGCAGACGAACCAGATGAACACCCTATAAACAAAGTGGAATAAAAATGTAATCCAGAGGCTGTGTATGACACTATTTCTATATGCTTTCTTTACACAGAGACTGGGAAGGATTAGATAGGGATCCTGAGAATGAAATTTCTATTAGATTTTTGGCCAACCCTAAGACTGTCTTCAAAATTTAGATTTTTATACTTTAAAAATTTATATATCATGATTATCTTTTCCCCAAATGAAGATGAACCTGACTGGATCCCCAAGGCTATGTAAATTAGACAAATAATGAATAAATAAAAGAAATTACTGTACTATCAGGCATTTACTAAAAATGTTGTTTTTCCCTTCCACTATCACAATTCTAAACTTATCCAAAGTAATCAATTGCTAAATGATCTTAGACAATCTCAAAAGAATATTCATTACATGAAAATATGAAGGATTTAAAAATCACAAAGTATAGTAAGTGACCCTCTAAAATGAATTTTATAGTATTCTTATGTTAAGATTAAAATCACCAAAGAGGTACTTCAGTCTGAATTTGATTTACAATACCCTCCAATTCTACTTTTTATAATTTAAAAGTGTTTTTCACATGCATTATATAATTTAAACACAGCTACTATTATTTACATATTTTGGATAAGCAAATAGGTTGAAGGTGGATAAGTATCCTAAAATCTCACAGTTAATATGCAGAAGAGATTGAACTAGAGTTCAGTTTTTCCGAGTATGGAATTAAGATTCAAATTCATCCAAAGATAAAATCTTTTTTAAATATGAGTTTCTGAGGCATAAGAAAGAAAAATGTTTTTAACCATATCTATAAATAATATTAAATGTCTGAAAAACTCAGTAAAAAGTTAATGTCAGACCCTGTCTCAACTAAGCCTTTAAAACATAAACACAAGATCACTTTCAAGGTGGCTTGACAACATCTGCAGAAAGAAACATGCAGCTCCTAACAAAACAAAAATAACTGATAAAAATCAGTTAGCATAACAACAAAGAAATAAGGTCTCTGGAAATTGTCTTAAAGGCAACTAGCACAAGTAGGCACATTAATTGAAAAAAAATCTACTAAAATTTTGAAAACACTGAGACTCTACAACATTTTATATATTCTATCAGCCTTCTCCCAATTCAGTGTCAAGTCATTGCTCCACAGGGTAAGTGTAACAAAGAACACTGCTCCCTCTGGCTCCAACCTATATTTGAAGTCTATGATGTGTCCCTGGGAAGGGCAGGCTACCACTATTTCTCCTGCCTGTTCTCCACCACTATGCAGAGACTCAACTCCAGGAAAGTACAGGTGAGAAGTCAAGCACTCCCTTGTTCCAATCATCCCTTATTCACAGCGAGGAAATTTTACCCCAAGAATAGTATGCCAATAACCCTTCTTCTCAGCTCGTCCATTGTGGTGGTGGTGGGCCAGTCTATAACTGTGTTTCAGGTCTTTTTTCCAGAAGAAAAGGCAGACATATAAAGAGACAGCTCTCCCCAAAGGAACTGACTTCATTTTAACTCAGATGAGTGGGAAGTTCAAGTCTAGAGTCCTCTTAAAAACAATTAAAATTTTGGTGGTAAACAATTAATAGGAGGCTAGAAGCTTCACAAGACCAATAAACTAAAACATTAAGGCAAATATTTCACCTGGGAGAACCAGAAAAAAGCTAAGATAAGCTCTCCTGGCATCACAAAACCATAAGGACTCATCTTAAAAACTATCCCTGCAAGATACAAATTAAATTGAATTACACTGTAAGACAATTTACAGTCCAGGGTACTGTGAAAAATATTAGAGCAATCCAGGAGAATTCAGAGGAACTGAAAACCTGGGTGTGATACAACATAGGAAGACAATTTAATGAGCAATCTGGAGATAGGACAAAGAGAACTCTGCTAAAACCATTATCACAGAAGGTCTATGCACATATACAAGGCTGCACTTTCTAATATCATGCAATAAGAAATACAGAATTCAATAAAACAATCTATCTAGTCACTAAAGAATATAAAAACAAATCTCCCATTCTACAATTGATATGGTAAATTATGTTACATCTTAAAGTTTTCAATAAATATCACAAGCCATGTGCTATTCCTTCCATACAGTTTGTGTGTCCCCCAAGTTTTCATATGTTAGTAGTTAGGCCCAAGCATGGTAATGTTATGAGGCGAAGGTACCTTTAAGAAGAAAAGCCTAGTAAAACTTCCAACCTAGCTCCTCTCGACTTTAGGGTTTCCTATCTCCCTGGCACGTGTTCTCACCTGATGACTTCTGTTGTGATGTGATATAGACAAACTGAGTCCTTTGGAGATGACTTAATGTGGCATGAATTCATAAACTCCCAAACTGTGAGCTAAATAAACTTTTTTTCCTTATAAAATAACACCCTCAATTATTTCATTATATGTAGTTAAGGAAAACATACTAGCATTGTACAAAGAAAAATAACTGATACATGCGGATACAAAAAAGTAGGCAAGAGAAACTAACTTTGAGAGAATCCCGATATCAAACTTAGCCATATAATAGCCATTTTATGGAAGGTGTGATTACAATGTCTCATTAAATATAGCACATACATACATGGTTAGAAATTACAGAAAGAACAAGATAAAATTGATAAATATATATGAAGTAAAAAAATTATCAGGATATAATAGATTTAAACTGTAAGAAAAACAATCAGCAAATTTTAAAAGAAAAAATACTCTGAATAATAAGAAAAAAGATTTTTAAAAGTTATCAGAGCCTCAAAAATAATTATAAATCATTGTGAATATACTATATAGTACTGTGACTAACAGAAGAAAATGAGATAAAATGAAGAAATTAAGCCATCGTGGCTGAAAATGTGTCTACATTTTTTGATGCAGAATAAGCCATTACACTGCATTCCCAAGCATCTCAGTAAGGTCAAAGTAGGACAAATGCAAAGAAATAATGCACAAAACATTTGTAAAAACCTAAAGGTCAGTAAAGAGAGAATTTTGAAAATATCAAATAAAATGACTAATCACGTTCAAAGAAACTCTAATATTTTTAACAGTTGATTTTTCATCAAGAATAATAGAGGTTAGGGAGATGACTGATCAAATTACTGAAAGAAAAACATCACTAACGATGAACCCAACACTCAACAATATTGCCTTTCAAAAACGAAGGCAAAATGTAGACACTCCAGAAACATGAAAGATAGGAGAACACTTTACCTGCAGATAGTCTTCAGAAAGAATATTAATGACTATGAAAGCAATTCAAATTCATGTTAAAAAACTAATGGTCATTAGTTAAGTTTAGGTAAATATGAAATAACAATCAAGCTGAGTAAAAAACAATCTCTATGCTCTGACAATAAGAGACACACTTAGACCTAATGACACAAACAAAATAAAAGGATTGAAAAATATATATTACATAAATAGTAACCTTAGGAGAGCTAAAGTATTCAGACTAATAACAGAGCAGAATTTACAGGAAACAAAAGAACTTTAGCAGACATAAAAAGGATCATTTCATAATGACAAAAGCTCATCCATCAGGATGTCCGGCCTACCCTAAACAAATAATGTACCTAACAACAGGACAAAATACATGAA